AAACGGAAAGCAGTTTGGCCTGCAAACATTGCGGTGAAGCGTTCACACGTAAATCAAGCCTAGACCTCCACATGAAAGCTCACATGGGAGAAAAGCCTTATGCGTGCGCTGAGTGCGGGAAGAGTTTCACTCATAAAGGATACCTCAAAACGCACATGAGAAGTCACAACGAGGAAAGCTCTTATTCCTGCGCGCTCTGCGACAGCAGCTTCTCCCGAAAGGGAAGTCTGAAGACGCACATGAGAGTTCACACGGGAGAAAAGCCGTACACCTGCGCTCAATGCGGAAAGAGTTTCACCCGGAAGGGGACTCTTAACACACACATGAGGAGCCACTCCGGAGAAAACCATCACATCTGCAAACTCTGCGGGAACAGCTTCTCCCGCAAGGGAAGTCTCAAAGCTCACATGCGCATTCACACCGGAGAGAAGCCGTATGAGTGTCCTCAATGTCAGCGGAGTTTCACACGCAAAGGGACTCTCAATTCCCACTTAAAGACTCACATCGGAGTGACTCCGTCGTCCAAAATAAAGAAGAGCTTCTTCAGAAGGCAGCATCCCAAGACCAAAACCGAAGAAAAGCCGTTCGCGTGTGTTCAGTGTGCACGGGGATTCAAGTACAAGAAAAACCTGAACCAGCACATGAGGATCCACTCCAGGGAGAGCTGCTTCGTGTGCCAGCACTGCGGCCGGCGCTTCACCAGCAGGATTTACCTCAGGAATCATCTGAAGACGCACACGGGAGAGAAGCCGTACGTGTGCACGCACTGCGGGAAGAGTTTCTCCCTCAAAGGAAGCATTAAAGTCCACATGAGGATTCACACCGGAGAGAAGCCGTTCACCTGCGAGCAGTGCGGGAAGTGTTTCCGACACAAAGTGACGTTCAATTACCACATGAGGATCCACTCTAGGGAGGACGTGTTTGAGTGTCAGCATTGCGGGAGCGAGTTCGCTGATGGTACAGAGCTGGAGAAGCACGTCAATGTCCACTTAGGAGAAAACCCCTTCATGTGTCACTTCTGCGGAAAGACCTGCATAAACAACGGAAACCTGGTGATTCATTTACGCGTTCACACTGGAGAGAAGCCGTTCGTGTGTGTTGAGTGTGGGAAGAGCTTCACGCGTAAAGGCAACCTCGAGACTCACGTAAGAACCCACACTGGAGAGAGGCCGTATAAATGCGCGGAGTGCCAGGAGAGTTTTGTGTATCAGAGAGAGCTGAAGCTTCATTCGCGGCTTCATTCGGACTCCGTGAAGGCGTTTCGCTGCTCTCGGTGTAGCAGGAGCTTCAGAAATGGGAGCAGTTTCAAAAATCACCTCAAACTTCATTCTGTTGTCAGGAGGTTTAGTTGTGTTTGGTATGATAAGCGCGTTGCTTTGCCGTCACGCGTGAAAAGTATTGCTGACATGAAATCCTATGTGTGTTGCTCGTGTAGAAGGAGATTTAAATGGCTCAGCCATTTGAAATGGCACCAGAGGACATGTATAGTAAAAACTTAATTTAATTTGGGCTGAAGCTCGTGTAACAACTTGCACTTTTCACCAAGAATAAAAGCTTGGAAAAAATGTGTTGTTGTTATTAGGGGGCCAAGCAGCGATTCTGGTTCCTATTTTTCTTCTTCTTGTTATTATTATTATTCCGCTTCTTCTTCCACTGCGATTTGAATGGCAGCCTATATAGGAGTTTGCTCGAAGGTTATGAAATTTGGCACACTGGTAGAGGACAACCTCCTTATTAACCACAGCAAATTTGGACCATCTAAAGCAGTGGTCACCAAACTTGTTCCTGGAGGGCCAGTGTCCTGCAGATTTTAGCTCCAACCCTAATCAAACACACCTGAACAAGCTAATCAACTTCTTACTTGGTATACTTGAAACATCCAGGAAGGTGTGTTGAGGCAAGTTGGAGCAAAACCCTGTTGGGATACCGGCCCTCCAGGACCAGGATTGGTGACGCCTGATCTAAAGCCTGGTTTATACTTCTGCGTCAAGTGACCGGCGTAACCCACGGCGCATGCAACGCACGTAGCTGTGCATTTGTACTTGTGCGCGCTGTCTCTGTTGGTCTGCATTAACACTTCCGAAACGCTAGTTGGCAGTGAGGTGTAAATGTTCCTCTGTGTCGAGTTTCTTCGCTGCTTTATTGCTTTTCCTGAACACTTCCGGGATGTACAAGTGGCTCAAACTCGCTCATTTTGAGGCAGGAACCGGCGGACGTGCAACAACTTTAACTATGAGGTAAACACAAAACAAAACTTTCCATCCGGAGCTCCTTCACGGGACTCCACACTTGTAAACAATCGCTCCATCAGACTCGCACCATTCACGCGGCTCTCTGTCTCGCCCAGACTCGTCAGCGCTACCAAGCCGACCAATCACAGAGCTTGCGCTACGCGTCGTTGCGACGTGTAGTTAAATTTTTTGAGAGGTGCATGTCAGCGACGGCCACGGCGAAGGGCTATGCGTCAGCGCCATAGCATACGCCGGCGTTTGACGCAGAAGTATAAATCAGCCTTAACTCAAACTCTCTAGCACCACCATTTGTCCAATTTAGCAATTTTAAAAAAGCTAAAAGCTTTTGATCCGTAGACCACAAAATCTAATTTTCTCTGAATCCTTGGCTTATGATACCAAATTTAGTAAGGTTAAGTTTTTTTTTCTTTTCTATTTTTAATTGTTTGTAAAACCTACTTTTTTTTTTTTCGAACTCGTCCTCACCAAAATTCTCACCAAAATTGGCTCGGATCATCTTTAGACCATAGTGGCAAAATGTTATGGAGTTCAAGAAGATTACTTAAAAAAGCACACAAAATCATACTCAAGACTATAGCTGCGTCCCAAATGGCACGCTATACACTATGCACTCATGCACTATATACTTATGCACTTACACACTCAACAACATAGTATATGTATGTAGTGTCGTCCCAAATGGCACACTAAGGTGTTTTTACTAAGCGGAAATTCAAACCGTTTCCCTGATGACGTTTGATGGTTGCCAAATCAGTGAAATAAACGACCGAATTATCAAATAATACCTGCCACGAGTATTGCCGCATTCACCATCGGGAGGCGCTATAATCACTCTCGTAGGAGAATTTTGCTTTCACCATCCAAAATAAATAAAGTTATTCAACATGTGCGTCTGATAGCTCCGCCCCTTCCGCTACGTAAGCAAATCTGCGGTCGTTGAGAGCGTGAAGTGTCCATCATTACACACTTCAGTTTACCGGCTGAATGAGTGCATCATCCGGGTAATTAAAGTGCACTTATTATTTTTAGAGTTTTCAGTGTGAACGCACTACTTACACTATTTATACTACAAAATGGCGTAGAATAGTGCGTAAGTATGCGATTTGGGACGCAGCTTATATCTCGCTTATTTTCTGTGTGTTATAACAACTATGATCTGAGGCTGCCTGCACAGTTACGTTGCAGCGCCACCAAGTGGTCAAGAGATATGAAAAACAGCTATTTTGGCTTATATCTCGTGAACGCTTTCACCAATTTTCACAATATTGGTCTCATTACTTTCAGAGAGCCATTCTGAGTCCAATTTTCCCATGTTTGCCATTTTTGGCCTCAGGCATATTGAATTTTGTCAAAAAATGCTATATTTTACAAACACATTGAGGTATCAACACAAAAATTGGTATGCCTCTTCAACACCATGCCCTGAAAGTGCTCAAAGTTTCGGAGCAGTGCCACCTTGTGGCCAAAAGTTATAAAGAAATTTAAAAAGAAGACTAATAACTTCTGCCACATTGTCATGAAACTGCGTTTGTTATATTCCTTGGATAATACTGCAAACATTGATACCACATTGTTCATATTTTGCAAAACTTCCGGTTCGCCATCTTGATTTAATTTGAAAAGCTGCTTTTTCTAACTCCTCCTAGACCATTGGTCCGATTTTTCACCAAATTTGACTCCGATCATCCTCAGACAAAAAGTTATGGAATTCATGTCGATAGCTTTAAAGGTTTTTGTTTACCGCACCGACAAATGGGCTGACATGATGCCCAACTACATCTGAGACTGTATCTCTGCAATGCTTGAAGATATTGACACCAAATTTTAGGTGTGTCATTGGCACCTCACACTGACTCCACCAATAAAATTTGCCGCCACCTATGGGTCAAGAGCTATAAGACATTCAACATCATTTAATAATGAAACTTTCAAAGATAGTTATAACTTTTGACTGTATTATTTTGATAAAATTAGTGTCAAATTATTCCTTGGGTCAAGCCGGCAACACAGACACTAATTATGCCATCATCTTGCAAACTTCCTGTTCGCCATCTTGATTTTGTTGCAAAACGTTCTTTTTCGAACTCCTCCTTGACCATGACAGCAATTTTCACCAAATTTGAACCAGATCCTCTCTAGACTTTGCTGACATGAAGTTATGGAATTTGTGTCGATAGGTGTCACGGTTTTTGTTGCTGGACTGACAAAAATGCTGGTACAGTAGCAAACTGTGTCTGAGGCTGTAACTCTGCAATGCTTCAATGTACTGACAAGAAACTTGATGTGTGTCAATGTGACCTCACACTGAACACACCACATACATTTGGTAACAGCGCCACCTATTGGTCAAAAGTTATAAAGCAATAAATCTTTGATGAGATCATTGTTTTCATGATTTTCTGTGGGTATGGTAGCACTGTCGCCTCACAGCAAGAAGGTCGCTGGCTCGAGCCTCGGCTGGGTCAGTTGGCATTTCTGTGTGGAGTTTGCATGTTCTCCCCGTGTTCGTTTTCCTCCAGGTGCTCTGGTTTCTAAAAGCTAAAATAGTGTGTATGGGTGTTTCCCAGTGATGAGTTGCAGCTGGAAGGGCATCCGCTGCATAAAACATAAGATAGATAAGTTGGTGGTTCATTCCGCTGTGGCGACACCTGGTTAATAAAGGTACTAAGCTGAAGGAAAATGAATGATAACGTTCGCCCACATTTAATAATCAGAATGAAGGCTTTTATTTTGACCTGCAGTGTGACGTCATAAGGACGCGTCGCGCTTGTCTGCTGTGCCGTTTGAATGAGAGCCAAAGCGTTTGTTTTCGGTTTTCACGAGTGAGATAAAGTTAATTATTATTGAATGTAATGTTGTATTTTTGTCCCCTGGAAGCATGACACTTCATCTCACTCGAAACGGATGAGGTAAGCAGTCTAATGTGCTTTTATAAATACTCTTACAGAAATAAACGAGGTCCTCACAGATCTATAAAAGAGAACATTAGTATATTCATTCAATTGAAATCAGCAGACCTGCTTTTAGCTTGTTTTAATGTCAGTTACTCGCTAAAGAGTTATTTTAAACGTTGTTTGGTTTGGAGTTAATCAAATTAACCTGCAAAAGAGAACTCAATTTCGTCCATTAAATATAACGTTAGTGCATCTCTGCTGTAACGTTAGAGCTTTGTTTATCACGCGATTAAAGTGACAGTGAGACTTGTTATAAACACTTTTTTTAGCCTATTGTCACGTTAATATTGACCCGAACACAGCATTTGACATTTGAAAAGCTAAAAACTATAGATATAGGGCTGTATGATATTGGAAAAATATGTGTTTGTATGTGTGTGTATATATATATATATATATATATATATATATATATATATATATATATATATATATATATATATATATATATATATATGTGTGTGTGTGTGTATATATATATATATATGTGTGTATATATATATATATGTGTATACCTATATATATGTATCTATATATATATATATATATATATATATATATATATATGCGTGTGTGTGTGTGTGTGTGTGTGTGTGCATATATGTATATATATATATATATATATATATATATGTATATATATGTATATATATATATATATATATATATATATATATGTGTGTGTGTGTATATATGTGTGTGTGTATATATGTGTGTGTGTATATATATGTGTGTGTATATATATGTGTGTGTATATATATATATATGTGTGTATATATATATGTGTGTATATATATATATATGTGTGTATATATATATGTGTGTGTATATATATATATATATATATATATGTATATATATATATATATGTGTATATATATATATATGTGTATATATATATATATGTGTGTATATATATATAT